AGCTGTCTGGGGGCCAGCCTATGGGGGGCGCCTGATGGCAGCTGTAAGGAGAGCTGCGCGCTGGAGGGGTGGGGCCGCGTGCCCGCTGCCCAGGGCACAGGAATGGATGGAGCTGGCCCTGAGGAGGAGGGAGTGGTCCCTGCTGTCCCCTGTTTAGCCGCCCGTGTAGGGCACTTCCTTGCCACGGGGGGAGTCGGTCGGAGAAACGTCACTCACAGCAGCTCTCGTTTCAGGGACATTTACAACCTTCTCCGCCCATAGGCAAACCAGAGACTCACCGGACAGGTGGGAGCTTGAGGGGTCATGCGGCCCAGTTCCCATCCCTCGTGGCAGAACTCGTGGAGTATGCGCTAGAGCAGTATTTCTGAGAGTGCTCCGTGAAACCATTTAGGACAGTGTTTCTGAAAGTGCTCCCCAAAACCACTTTGAGAAACACATTAACTGGCTGCCCTGGTTTGTTTGATTGTTTACTGGTGCCGCGGCCACGAGCCTCGCGGCTCTCATTGGCTCCAGTTTGTTTTTTGCAATGGGAAGCGGTGTCCCATTCCACACTGCTTCCCGCAGCTCCCCTTGGCTGCAAACGGAGCCAATGGGAGCCGCGAGGCTCCGTGGCCACGGCGCCAGTAAATAAACAAACCGGGGCGGCCAGTTAACGTGGTTCTGAACGTGATTTCACGGAGCACTCAGAAACACTGATCTAGACCACAGAACACTCTCAGCAACACTGCTCTAGACCATCCCTACGACAACTGCCTGGCAAAACCCTACACAACAGAATCCACATTTGACTTGCCAACGTCCAGCCAATCTGCAGCAGTGACTGTCCTAGCCACCGGGCTACGGGGGCCGGGCTTTTCCCCTCTCTCCTCTTGACGCTGTTTCACTTTGTATAAATATTTAAATATTCATTGGCACAGGGATTTGAACTTGAGTCACCTCCCCTAAGGAGCTCCCTACCCATCAGGCTACGGGCTCGTTCGCATTCCTTCTCTTTGTGTAATGAAACAATCAGACTTGAACCACTCTGCACACGCCAACTGAGCCGTCCCTCTTATTCTAGTTTGCAGGTTTCCCCGGGGCAGACAGAAACTGGCATGTCGCTGGCATAAGCGTGACCCAGAAGTAAAGTCTCATGTTCCTGCTCTACAGCAGTGACGCTCTAGGACTTCTCAACGAAATGGTGGCAGGACATTTTTAACAGGTACAAAACAACCTATTGTCCCTTAATTTCATTCTTGGGAACAGCTGAACTGACTTTGCTGAACCTTTTAAAAAAAAAAAAGTCTGAAACATTTCCCCCAGAACTAGTCAACTTGATGAAGTTAGAAGAAACTGAAGCCATGATCTTATAAAGGGTAGATTCTCTATTCACTAGTGTGGCGGGAAGGATGGAGGTTGATAAAATACAGGTAGGAACTGAAGAGAAACATTCACATGTAAAAGAATCCCAGTTACATCACACAATGGCAGACAGCTAAAAAGTGACACATTTCACAAGTGCTTGGATACAAATGCTAGAAGTCTAAATGCTCAGATGGGTGAACTTGAGTGCCTGGTATTAAATGAGGACATCACAGAAGAGGAACCCATCTCCTGTTGCTGGCGTAGTCAGGAGGGCATTAAATGAAACACAACCGGGGAGTATGAACGGAGGGAAGAAATGAGGCCATAGCTCAACATGGAGACTGTGAGAACATCAATCAGGAAGCACAAGAACATGAAGAGAAGAAAGTAGCTGCCTGCAGACCACTGCTAGAGCCTGCGGAACAAACCAGATGAGTTGGAATTGCTCGTTTATGCGCATACATTCAACACGGCTGGCATTACTGAAACCCAATGGGAAGTCGCATGATTGGAAAGTTAAAAGCAGTGGCCATAACTAGCCTTGGCAGATTTTTTTAAATAATTTTGACGGATAATATTGATGTTCATTTTTTAAGCATTTTAATTTTTCTTTCAATTTAAATTTTCACAGTTGCAGGAAATTATGGGGGAATCAGATGATAATTATCTAATGACAGGAGATGCTGAGATTCAAACCATTGAAGCTGGACAAACAGCTTTTTTCCCCTGAGCCAAAGGGGGAAGGCAGCCCCCTGGAGAACAGCTGGCCACGTACCAAGTGGTACATGCAGATCCCTCATCCTGTGTGTCCAGCAGGACCCTATACCTTCCTGCTAACCTTCACCAGCTACCAGGGGCGCGAGTCTGACGCACTGTCGGCCCACACGCCCTGCAGGGACAGCACCTGGCCAACACATCCCCAGAGGAACAGAATCAACCGCGTCCCGCGAGTGGCAACGTGGCCGATTCCAGAAGGTTCTGGAACTACACGTGTAGCGAGAGGTTCAGGGACGAAGAGGAGACAGTGCCGGAGGGAGACCGGAGCCCCAGTCCCACCTGCGCTCCTGGAAGCCATCGTAGGTGGAATCATTCAGGTAAACGATCGGCGAGCCAGGGGCTGCGATGGTCCCTCCTTCAGGGATGCTGTAGGACGCCAAACCGTCTAGAAAAGATGAGAACGGAGAAAGCAGGTCAGAAGCTGCTCCCCATTGTCTCCGTCCACAGGATTTCCTCTTCCTTCCTGCTCAGAGCAAGCCCTGGTCCACAGGGAGCAGGAAGGGCCTGCACTCCCCTGGGCAGCGTGGCTGCTGGCGTTCCCCCATCACAGGGCCGGGGCCGGGCAGCCCAGGGGCCCTGGGTAGGCCGTGGAGAGGGGACCGTGCAAAGGGCCCTTACCAAACCAGAGGCAGCCATAGAGCTCCACCCTCATGCAGACCGTCATGGGCAGCTCCGTCACGGGGATCACCCGGATATAGCGGGCAATGATTGGGGGCCGAAGGTCTTTCAGGACCACATCGTACGTGTCGGTGTTGCCTTGAATCACCTGGAAACAGAGGGGGCTTCAGTGACCAGCTCCAGACACGGCAGGACGCACCCACGGGCTGCAATGGGGTCGGACGGGGTGATCCTGGGGAAACGAAGCCTGGCTCCAGGGCTGCACGGACCAGGAAGTCCAGTCACAAAGCCGCTCACTGCTCGGGGGGGGGGGGACACGGCTAAGGAAAATCTGGGCTCCAGTTTGGAGACAGTGGCTGCAATTCCAGTCGAGTGACTAGACGTAGGCAAAGGAGGACGTTGGACCAGAACGGTCGGCACGATGGGGCCTGAACCCTGGGCCTCACCACCGGACGCCCCCTTTCCCCTCACACTGGAGGCTGTTTATTATTATTGGTAATAGCCGCCCGACAAGGAGCAGCAAGACACTTGTAATGGCCGGGATTTCCCAGCAGGAACCTTTTGTTATCCCGGGCGTCTGCCGTCCATTAACAGAGACTCAAAAGCCGGCAACCAGCGTTCCCGGTGTTAGAGCTCGTTCGGGCTTGCTGAGCATTTCCCGTGAGGAAGAACGTCACGGCAACAGTTAGCGTTCCACCCCGAGCTCGATCCAGGGCCCTCGTGTCATTATGGCCGAACCCCAGCTGGCCTCTTGCTCTCAGAGGTGGTGAAAAAATAATCTTGGAAACATGACCTGGGTGTAACCAATGTCGCACTGTCTGCCTGAGTCCGAAGACAGTTCCGAGAGGGGCAACGGTCCCGACCGTAACCAATACAGCCTCCTACAGACCGGCGTCCTGCATCCCCCCAGCCCTACCCCATGCATCCTTTGGCCTACGAGCGACACCCAATCCACCTCGGACGGAGCACTCGAGACAGTCGAGATGGCTCTGCCGGTGGTAGCTGAGGAGAGGAGACACCGCAGGGGAGAGTGGAGACGGTGGGCACTCAGGGTCGGATCTGGGTTTCAGCAGGTCTTGCTGAGCCGCCATGCACGTGGGGCCGGAGGGTTGGCCAGGTGAGGGGAATGGCTGGCGCTTGGGGTTCAGCTGTAGATAATTTTGCAGCATAGTCGAGTAGGCCGGGGTCTTGGGCCCTGGGGCGGGGCCCTTGGAAAGGCCCACGCTGACAGAGAGGGGCGCTGCTCCAGCGACGGGCTGCAGGCGAAGGGAAGGGGGCACCCTGTCTCCCGGGATTCAGTCTCTGCCGATCTCAGAACCCTGGGAGCCTCCGCTGCACTCACCTGCCCCCCCTGCCGATCCTTCCAGGAGATCCAGCGCTCCCCGTTGCGGCTGTAATCGATGCGGTAGGCCCGGGCGAACTCTTTGCCTGTGGCGCGGGCGTGCCGGCCCTGCGTCCCGATCAGCGTGATGAAGAAGAGCTTGTGCAGGTCGATCTGGAGGAACTGCACGTCTTCCGGCTGCAACAGGCCCGCTGGGCACCACGCTCCATCCCCCTCTTCCCTCTGCAACCTGGTGGGGCGAGAGACGCACACCTAACAGGCCTTACTCCCCAGGGCCTAGCCTTCCGGCACTTGCCCTTCCAACTGGCTGCTTGGCCTTGGCTCGGGAGTGGAGCCAGGCAGCCTGTCAGTGTGTGCTCGTGTATCATACCCCCTCCCGCCCTGTGCCCCTTTAGTTCCATCTCTTCTCTCTTTGCACCCCATCGCTTGTGGGCGGAGGTAAAACGCCGGCTGCTTGTTCTCTGTTCACCTGCTGGCCAGGCCGGCAGTCAAACCCAGCTTGCTCGCCCCGCCTAACGGACAGGCCCAGGTCCTGACTCATGCCACAAGGCTGCAGAGCCAACCCCCCACCAGTAGGACCCCAGAGTGCCTGCGTTCCAGGACAGAGCTCTGCACCGGGACCATGGGCCTGGCCTCCTTTGTTCCTAGGTGCACACGTTTACATCTAGCCGCTGCATACTGCTTGCTTGTGCCAGCTTCCCAAGCGATCCGAACCTAGTGACCTGTGCGCTTTGTTCTTTAGCAACCCTCCCCCAACCCCCGTCAATCTGTGTATCGTCAGCAAACGGGATCGCTAACGATTTTACGTTTTCGTCCAGGTCATTGATTAAAAATCATAAACATACCGCTGGGCCAAGAACTGCTCCCTGGGGACCACGTTAGAAACACACGGGCTCCCTGGTGATTTCCCATTTGTAAGTGCATTTAGAAACCTGTTAGCCCGCTGCTCATGTATTTGATGTGCTCTGTGATAATGTTGGACTGTGCTAGTTTTTTAATCAAAATGTTGGTCACCTGTTCACGCTGTGCGACTACAGTGCGAAGAGGGTCACCTCGGCGGGCGCCGCGTTTTAATACGCCTGACATTAGGGAAATGGGATTGCACCGTAAGTGAAGAGTTTCAGTCCAATTGTATCCGTTCTGGAGGGCTGTGGGGCGGCTTTTGCCAAGCGTTAACTCACCGTGCGTACTGGGGTCCGGTGGAGTCATACCACTGACTGGAGGCCGTAATGTCTTCATCTCGGATGGTCCCTTCGTGCATCCCCAAAGGGTATCGGCATATTGCTGGAGGGGAACAGGGACAGACTTTTAACCTGAAGCTCAAAACAATTTTGGTGACAAGTCCACCCGGGTGAGGAGCCGTGAAGGTGAAAGGAGAAACAGACAGCCGTCAATATGCAGCAAAAGAAAGGGGGAATAGCAAACTAGAAAGGGAAAAATCCAACGCTGGCAGGGCCAAGGACAAGGGGATTCACAGGAACAAAAGGAACCCTAAGAACGATACAGGCGTAGATGAATAGATGTGAAGGCCAGAAGGAACCACTGTGATCACCTAGTCTGTCTGCCTGCACAAGCCAGGCTAGATGGAGATGGACGTTAACAATGACCCAACACAGGCAGACGCGTTCAGGACCGATTCCTGTTCCGGATTTGGAGAGGAGCAGGGTGATGTGCTCTAATCCCACGTGGATGATGTGCTACTTTCCAGTCCACTGGTACCTAAAGACCATGCCTAACAGCATCCGCAGGGGATAAACATTAAGTCCTAGAACAGCTGGCTGAGGAGATGTCTGTGCCACTGGTGATAATTTCCAATACATCCTGGGATACAGGAAAAAGTCTAGAAGACTGGTAATATGCTAACCTCATGCCTGTCTCTAAACAGGAGGTTGGGGAACCACAGACTGGTTAGCCTGACATCAGTCCTGGGCAAAATAATGGAAAGCTGGCCTGGTACAAGACTCTGACAATAATGAATTAAAGGAGAGAGCTAGATTTAAGGTCAGTTAACATGGCTGTTTGGAAAATAGCTCTAGTGAAATAACCTGACTGGAGAAGATAACCAGTTTGTGTGATAAAGGTCATGAGGCTGCCAAACCAGGTACCAGCTCATTCACTGTATGACTAGTACAGATCAACGTGACTATTAAATGCAGAAGAGTATTTGGTGTTTAACCTTCACGGAAACCTAATGCAGCGGTTTCACTCATCTGCACCCTGTTCTAATGGAGCAGCAAACATTGAATTGACTGATCTCTCGCGGTCCCTTCCGGTCCCAGTATTCTATGATTGTATCCCATAAATAACCCATCAACGAGAGAGAAGCCTAGTGGAAAGCAAACGAAGAACGTAAACAGAAAAGGAGTGATTTCGAGACAGGCGGTCATTTTGTAGGACTGGAGGCTGAAGACTCTACAGGCGAAATTCCTCGCGTGCTTGTTCATCCTCGAAGGAAGAGGCCACGAGGGCAGTGACCCTGTCAGCTTGTTTTCGGAGAAAGGAAGCTATAAGCACGGCTTTGAGGAAAGAGCCGACGTCTCTGGACTCTCTGGGTTGTAAAAGAGAAGAAAAGCGGCAGGAGATGGGGATCCTCGTTGTTCTGGGTCGCCCGGAGAGCCGTTTTGGGAAGTGGAGCTAACTCCGCCCCGCGGCGAAGACTCCCGGAGAGACTCGGCCCTGCAGAGAAAGGCGACGGGCGGGTGTGATGACTAAGCAGGTGCAGGCCTGGTGGGAAGAGCTGTCGGAGCAGGGCCGATCGCTAACTGGGCCTGGCTCAGATTGCGTGGCACCTCCGGAGGCCGAACCCGGGGCAGCCTGGGCAACGACCAAGTGGATTGTGGGCACTTGTGGCGACTCGACTCTGCAGCCTGGAGCCTGCCGGAGGGAGCCGCCCCCAGGCCAGCGAGGGTCAAGTGACTGCTCTACAAGCAGCGGCGTGGACGCCACGCGGAAGTTGCGGCGTGTCTGGATCTCCGGCCGCGAGGCCGAGCAGGGTGGGGCCGCTCAGCAGCTGTGGGGACCTTCCCTGGGGGTCAGGCAGCTGCCCCCGGATCAATCCCAGCAGTCCCCAGTGGCCAGCTACAATTCAAAGCTCAGACACAGGCTGCCCAGGAGCTGCTGTGGCCGGGTGGGTCATGGGCCTGCAGGGGAGGAGCGGGGGGTGAGGGCTGAAGGGCACCAGCAGGGTTGCTGGGGGACCCAGGGCTGGGACATCAGGAGGCCAGAGGCTGGGACGGAGGAGCATCAGCAAAGCTCGATGGGGTGACTGAAGGGGGTGGGAGCTCAGGGCTGGAACGTCGGAACTGACGGGACCTGGCAGGAGGGCACCGAGGGGGCACGGAGGGTCTGCAGGTACAACACAGCACAGGGCCTGGCGGGGGCCGGGGGGCTCTGTCGGGACTGAAGGGCGCTGCAGACCCAGGGGCTGGCAGAGCAGAGGAGCGGCAGGCTGGGCCGGCAGAGCTGCGTGTGCACGGAGAGGCGGGCAGCCAAGGAGCCCTGCAGCAGGCTGGGCCGGATTCAGCTCACCAGGACTCTTACCCTGTACCCAGGGCTCCAGCTGCTGGGTCCCCATGATCAGCCTGCAGGGGGCAGCCGCCCTGTGCCCCTCAACAGGGAGCTTCCAGCCCCGGGCTCTGGGTGTGACGCCATGGGGGTACCGCCCCCACCCCTGCTCGGCCCTGGCCTCTCCCGGAGGACACGTCCAGACGCTGCTTCTGAGGCAGGAGGGGCCCAACCGCGACCCCGCTGCAGGCTGGAGCTGGGGCCACTGCACAGGGCTGCACGTTGAGGTGCATCAAGGGCCCGAGGGTGCTTTATTCTCACCCTGATCAGCCCGGCCCTGCCCCGGAGCTGGGGCTGCAATGGGGGCCAGAGGGGCGGGGCCAAGGCAGGGACGGAACAGGCCAGTCGCGGGCGCACAGAAATAATATCAGCAGAGAGTCCATCAGGCCTCCCCCGGACGGAGCGGCCCCTCGTGTCTGGGGGCTTGGCCAAGACAGGGCAGGGAGCCGCACGGGGCTGTTCCTCACACAGCTCGGCACTGGGCGCTCTCTGGCACCACG